ATTACAGACAGGGCACCATTACAGACGTCAACAACCGCGCACAAAAGACTTCAGATTCTATACAGTATTCTAATGCATTCATAATTATTTGAAAAAATAGTATGTTTTAGTTTACAAATAATGCAGTAGAATAACAAATTGAAAGGATATACGTGAGTTCCACATTTCAGCTCCAAAGGAGCTGCGCTGACAAGCTTTTTTTTCTCGGAGAAAGTGCTTTTAGAATATTAGTCTTTGCCGCTGTTGAAGAGGGTGGGTGTGGGTGGGTGTGGGTGTGGGTGTGGGTGTGGGTGGGTGTGGGGTGTGGGGTGTGTGGGTTGTGGGTGTGGGTGTGAGTATGAGTAAGATTCCTCTATTTATCCACATCGACACACACACCCACACCCACACCCAAACCCACACCCACCCACACCGACACCCACACCCACACCCCCTTAAAGGCCTTTAAACCTCTTTAAAGGTGTTGTGACACCTGTAAAAGGCTTAAGATATTTTAGCAGGGCATATCGTAGAAACTTTCAATTCTCGTGAAAACTACGTGTAGATGCCCGCTTTCCTTGGAAAATCCGTTGGGTGCGTTTTTGAAGGTGGTCTGATAGGATTGCGCGGGAAAATCAACCGTGTTTTGATCTTCAGAAAAGCGATCGATCGCGAAGTGTAAGGGTATATGTGTGGGTGTGGGTGTGTGTTTGGGTGTGGGGTGTAGCTGTAGAGCGTGGGTATCAGTGGAGGGAGGCGTCACTCCCATACCCACCCACCTACACCCACACCCACCCACACCCACACCCACACCCACCCAGACCCACTACTTTTGAATAACCCTAAGTATTATGTTTATATGAATTTCTAAAAAATTCAGTAGAAGAATCAACATTCGGTAATGAAGTTTTTTATATGTTTGAGTTATTCTAGTTTATTTATTCTCGTCATGATATTCTTCGTTCAATATTGACCAATCTGTCAATTCTTAATGTCAATACGATTGAAACATGTCAGAATTTCACAATTATTGAGGGTGTTGGTATGCGTGTGGGTGGATTGTTGAAGAAAACTACACCAAACCCACACCCCACATCCCACACCCCACACTCACACCACCTATCCCTTACATCCTGGCCGTCGCCCTCAACAAAAAAGATTAATGACAGAATGAAAAAGTGATTCATACTTGGAAAAAACACGCCGACCGTCATATTTGTTTTTTAATGTGTACTTCCTTTCTTTTCTTACAGGTGAATCACATAGATTTCACATAAATGATTTTACTGTGCGGAAGCAATGGAAGATCAAGAAATTGTAACTGATTCGATTCGAAAATCAGCGATTGTCTCGTTATTATTGTGTCGTATTCATGATCAACCTGAAAAATCTCAACATTTGCGATACTTGAAAATAGGAGTTGTAAGTCTATTTGTTTGTTTTATCGTAATGTGTTTTTTCGGATGTCCTACTCAAATTTATAATGAATCATCAGGCCCATTTTTTATGAATACCAATCAATTTTATACTCATTTTAAATTGTATACCAGGTTAATTGATAATGAATGGGCTTTTGTGTATCGTTGGTTTGTTTTACGACATGAATATCTCCAAATTGAATTGAATGAAAATGAAATTAGTTTAAAATCAGAAGATACGATTGAAATACGAAATAGATATTACTTTTTTGGCAATCCAAATGATTTATTCTATCTGGTTCGACATTCCGATATGGGTATATCTGACAAAATCATTTACGTTCGTGTACCTTCGGGTAAACATTTTTTTCCTCCACCCACGGAAAAATTTTCAAACGAAAACCGCAAGAAACCGCGGTTTCACAAAGTGCGGTAATCAACGGTTTTCCGAAACCGCGAAAGTCAGACCTTTTATGCGGTTTTTGAAAACCGCCAAGCACTGCGGTAATATCACACCGCAGTTTTCACCGGTATCCAAAACCGCATAAAAGGTCTGACTTTCGCGGTTTCGAAAAACCGTTGATCACCGCGGTCGGGAAAAACCGCATAAAAGGTCTGACTTTCGCGGTTTATTCAAGCAGTAATGATCGCGGCGTACAAATATCGCAGTTTTCGGCGGTTTCGAAAAACCGAATAAAAGGTCTGGCTTTCGCGGTTTTCTGAAACCGCTGGAAACCGCGGTTCTTTTAGACCGCTATATACCGCGGTTTCCATGGCCACACCTGACTCAGGTATGACCAGACTCATCTGAATTTATGATAAAGTTCAGATGAGCCAGCCTTCAAGGGGCTTGTAGTGAACTTTTAGAAGTTCCATTACCACAAAGTTACTTTGTAGTGAGAGATAGAATAAGAAAACTTATTCAAAATTTTCATGAAAACAGCGGGGCACGACATCCTCTTCGTCCTTACACATTCCATCACGATGGTATAAGCACGAAAAATACCGCGTTTTTCAGCAGAGAAACCGCGGTAACAAATAACGCGGTTACTCAATGGCATATCACGGTTTCTGAACCCGCTGAATACTGCGATATTTGCCACCGCAATTACTAACGACTATACCGCGGTTTAATAAACCATTGAATACCGTTATATTTATCACCGCGTTTACTGATGGCTATACCGCGGTTTTAGAAACCGCTGAATAGCGCGGTATTTATTACCGCAATGACTAATGACTCTACCGCAGTTTTTGTAACCGCTCAGTAACGCCATTATGTACCACCGCGACTGCTGATGAATATACAGCGGTTTTAGAAACCATTGAATACCGCGGTATTTATTACCCCAATGACTAATGACTTTGCCGCAGTTTTTGAAACCGCTCAGTACCGCCCTTATTTACCACCGCGACTACTGATGAATATGTCACAGCTGACATGAGAATATCAGTTGAGATTGGAATGCGCGAAAAACAATGAAAAAAAAAGTTTTTATTTTCAGAATTTAATACTAAGTTTAAAAAATTCTTATTTTAGTCGTCACGAATAAACGCCGCTATATTAAAAGTTTCATTTATTAAAATGGCATGAAAATTTTATAAATTCAATTCTGGATTTTATTGTTTTAATATAGGAAAAACAAAAGTGAAACAATAATGGACAAATAAGATATTCATTTACGTTTTCTTGTACGAGTCATTTGCATTCGTTTTTTTTTTCAAGAAGAATAAAAAGAAATCATATATCATTAAAAAAAATCAAAGATTTAATGATATGAAATCAATTAGTTATTGGCAAATAAAATTCAAGTATAATTTATTGTATATGATTTATCATAATATTTTACTTTTCATTCTATTTTAATAAAAAAAAAAGTTGTTCAATCTATTTATTTATTTATTTATTTTTTTTGAATACTTTTGTACTAGTTGGATATTCAATTCTGGATTTTATTGTTTTAATATAAGAAAAACAGAAGTGAAACAATAATGGACAAATAAGATATTCACTTACCTTTTCTTGTACGAGTAATTTGTATTCTTTTTTTTTTTCTTCAAGAAGAATAAAAAGAAATCTTGTATCATTAAAAAAAAATCAAAGATTTAATCATATGAAATCAATTAGTTATTGGCAAATAAAATTCAAGTATAATTTATTGTATATAATTTATCATAATATTTTACTTCTCATTCTAATTTTAAAAAAAAAGTTGTTCAATCAATTTATTTATTTTTTTTTTTTTCAATACTTTTGTACCAGTTGGATGAAGCGTATTTTCATTCATTTTCAGTGTCATAGTTTATTTTTCGATTTTATGAGAATTTTTAATTATTTACTGCTCTCTAACCTATGATCATGAAATTTTTAAAGTGTTGACGAATTACTATTATCATATTTACTAAGTATAACTTGATAATTTTTGCAAAAACTCCTCATTCATATTTTCGATTCATCTGTTTGTATTTGTGCTCGATATTCGTTGCTATGAAATCTTTAGCAAATAAACGCTATTTGTCTCGAAAGTTTTCATTATTTAATTAAGTCTATTTTTTTCTAAGAGATCTACTCATCAAAATGAATATCTTTTATGAAAGATTCGATTCATATATTAATAAACTTGATATTAAAAAACGAAACAAGTATACAATAAAAGATGAAATGTATTTGAATATTACAAACGTTCTTAAACAGGAAGATGTAAATGCATCAGCAAAATTCAAATTCTGGACTCGAAGAAGTTTTCGACTTATGGAAATTGGCTCATCACATCTGATATATAATATAAAAAATAATTTACCATTAATTACTTATGAAAAAATATATGAAAAAATAAATGAATGTCATATAGCAGTTGGTCATTCTGGACGAGATAAAACATGGGCTGAGGTTCTTATACTTATTGTTTTACCACTAAATAATAATACTACATTATATAGGTAAAAAGTCGATTTTCTGGCATACCTCAGTCAGCAGTGTCATTATTTATAAATATGTGTGATACTTGCCAGACAAGAAGATCTTTTCCAAAAACGCCCACTGGCAAACCAATTATTTCTGTAGGGTTTCTAACAAGATTACAAGTTGACTTGATTGATATGAGAAGTGTATCATACAATGGGTTCAATTTCATAATGCATGTCAAAGATCATTTTACAAAGTTTAGTTGGTTATTTTCATTGCTATCCAAAGAAGCACGATATGTTGCTCTTAATTTAAAAAACATATTTTATACTTTTGGACCACCAAAAATTTTACAATCAGATAATGGAAAAGAGTTTGTGTAAGAACTATATTTTAAAAATGTTACATAAAGAAGAATAGTATTAATATTCACTAAAAATGCCTGTGAGATTTTTATCTATTGAACTTTAGTAATCGGTTGAAAATTTTTATCGAAATTCGTATAAAATAATGAACTATTAATACTATAGGTATCTTTACTGCATTATTATAATCAAAGAATAAAGAGACTTAACATTATCAAAACAATTCCTTACAAACAACATTATAATGGTCAAATAAAAATTAAGAAATTTTTATTACATTTTTCGACACTATTTTTTTCATTTTTTTTCTCTGGTCGTTAATTCATTTTAATGCCGAACCAGAGCTGTTATTTTAAACTTGAGTAAGCGGATAAAATATGAAGTGTTTATACTTTAGAGATAAGTATAAGAGATTGAAAACTATCTAAGAAGTATTTACTATTATTTCAAAACTAAATTTCATAATAAGCCATAACAGTACTATTAAAAGCATTTGTACCTAGCGTTTTATAAATTAGATTACGACAATTCTTAAAGAAACGATATTTGAAATTTATTATAACAATGTTCCGGCCTTATAAAAAACAAAGAAAAGAAATTACAAAACTTACTTATGTATAATATAATGTATGAATTATAAGGAATAAAATATAGGACGTATTTTATACTTAATAGTGTCATTAAAAGAGATACATATCTATGGAAAAAAAAGAATTGTAATTTAATTTGAATCGTTTTCTGTATCATTGCTGTTTATTTGAATAAATAAGTTGTCGTTTGATAATAATTTCACATTGCCAATTATTAAGTTTTATAAAGAACATTTATATGTGAGAATATCTAGTCGCTTGAGAAATTTTCGAATAAACCATTACTTTTAATATATGTAAACATTATGGATTTCTGAAAAAAATAGCGAAAATTGTTCTTAATTTTTTTCAAATTAAGAAATTAAAACAATTTGAGAAATACGAAAGAAAACAAAAATAAGAATTGAAATAGTCAAAAATCGAAAAGAGATTGAAAAAAACTTAATGCTACGATTGATATTTAAAAAAATTTGATTAAATAATATAAAGCTTCATATTTGATAGGGCAAATATTATTCTGAACCTCAAATTGGATTGGCCTGATTTGATAATTATTAATGGACGCCCAAGACATCCACAGAGTCAGGGTCTTGTTGAAAGGGCGAATGCTGTTGTTCAAAAAATGTTAGGTAAATGGTTAGAAACAAATGAATCTCGTGATTGGCCTAGTGGCTTAGGTATTTAAAAATAAGTTATAGCATCTCTGTATAATTAACATGAAATTCTTACCTGTTCAAATTTTTAATAGGTCCTGTCATGCTTGCTATAAACAATTGTAGGTCTCAAAGTACAAAGAAAACACCATATGAAATGGTATTTGGACAACGTGTACGTAGTGATCATGATTTTTGGTTACAAATTCATCAACAAACGGAAAATAAATCAGTTATTAATGAAGAAGAGTTACCAACATCAATTATCGATGATTTAAATTTTGGTAACGAAGAAGTATATATAATAATTTTATCTTTTGTTTGCTATATATGACAATAATGAAAAGAAAGCGAAATAGGATTAACACGATATTTTATAGCATTATGCCAAAAAAATGAGTAAATATGCAATTTCTATTATAAAAACACCACTATTTTAACGCTTTTTGAAATCGCTAATATAAAAAAGCACTTTGAATTGAGAACTTATTACTATATGATTTAAGATAAAATAAATAATAATGTTTAAAAGTCAATGAAAAGATTCATCAATAATATTAAATAAGTATTAAAAAAGTTTTTCTCCCCTTTAACAGTAAAATGTTTACGAGAAATGAATATTAATCTAAGTTTTTCAGTTCATTGAAGATGATTGTTTATGTGATGCTACTTTTTCAAAAACATTGGTACTTTCATCAGATATTAATAAATTTGAATCAAAAGAGTTAAAGTATTGTATTGTTTTAATTTTTAATTGTATCATGTTGTTTTAATATTATCAATAGTAACCATGATTCGCATAAACGCATTCGTGATGAAGCTGAAAAAAACTATATTCGTACAGCAGGTTAGTTCTAAAGAATAAAAGTCTATGTATATTTTTTCCTGTTTTGCTCAAAACGTTTTTGTATAACCTGATTGAAAAACGTTATAGCTATTTAAACATAGTCATTATTAATAATAGAACGTCAGTTAAAGAATTATCAACAACGCTTAAAAAGACAAAAAGTGTATCAAATCAATGATATAGTGGGATTGAAAATAGCCGAAGTTGATCGTTCAAATACTGCTCCGTCGATATTGCCTTGTAAAATTATTGAAGTAATAAGAAAAGAAGAATCTTTAAATACACTATATAAACTAGTAACCGTAGATGGAATAATAACTGATTTATTTTCATCAACAGATCTTATTGATTTATCTGAAACTATTTCAGCTGAATTACGACAATTGGACCATAGTACTGTACCAAATATTACTTTTATTCAAGCATGTCAAATTTTCACACAATTCAAAGCTATCAATTCTTGTAAATGCATGGGTTCATGTGACACGAAACGATGTCCATGTAAAAGACAATCTATAAAATGTTGCAGTAAATGTCATCGTGGTAAATGTGTATCGTGTAAAAATAATATATGAATAATCATACATCGGTTTAACAAATAATTTATGTTAAAAATACAAAAGACAGTTTTAGTAGTGAATCGAATTTTTTTTTGCACAAATCATTTTTTTACAGAAATGACTATCAACTTAGGCATGTCCAGCAAAACTATATTAATAGCACATTTATAGTATATTTCTTAAGAAAAGTATCTAAAGGCTATTAACTTCAATGATTTTAAAATCCTTTGGGTATAACATAAAAACTACTAATGAGCGCAACGCCATAGCATATATAATATTTCTGGCTGGCTTATGTTTATATGGCATATTAGCACTATTAAAATGATTGATTTAAACGCAAATTATCAGAATTACTTTACTTAAAAATTCAATTTTTTTTTCAGAGAAACTATGTTAAAACAAAGAAAAGTATGGCATACCATAGGTCAGTTTAAAAAAAGATCATTTTTTATGATATTTTTATTTAACTTTAGAATATTGTATGTGAAAATAATAGAGAAATTGTATATGAGAATAATATACATATAAGGCAGCATAAATTTTATTTCTGTTACTAATGAGAGATTATACCATTACTATTTTTATAAGTTTGCATATGAATCTGTGCATGAAACTAGAGCAAACTCTTACATTCAATAATATTTTCTTTTAATAGGAAATCTATACGTTTGATAAAGCAATATGATTTGGAGCAAACTTTCTATATACTTTATTATCATGCTACGATTAACATAATCAAAATTCTCAGCGCCATTTGAATCTTTTTTTTATTTTCCTAGATTTCATTAAGTATTTTTCCTTGATCGTATATTTCACGAAAACGGACAACTCAATTCTTTTAATAATATGCATTATAAAATTTTTATTAATTTACAATTAGACATAAGCAAGAATGAAATAATCCTGGTAAACAGCATACATCTCTTTTATCAATGATGTTATAAAATTGAAGAGTAGTTTTCACTCACATGATGAGAGTGATTATACAATATTTTATTACAAAAAGATTTCAACTTCTCACATCTATTCAACATATATTGTATGTTATTATCTACAATCTGTAAAGAAGTAAAACAAAATAATAAGATAACCATGTTATCAAATATTTTTAATCACCACTCTATGAATTACTATTTTACTGTGATGATCATTTCGAATAAAACAACAAAATAAACTATTTTTCACAAGTATAAAAAAGCAATGTTAATTTACACACTAATGAATTCAGGTTGTAGAATTAAAACGTATCTAATAGTATTTAAAATCAAATTTAATTAATAAGAAAAAAAGAATAGATTGGCTTATTGAATTATAATATAATATGAAATGTTATTATCAATGATGTTCATATTCATATAACACAGCTCTAACTAATATAAATAAGTAGCTATGTTTCAACTGTTATTTTCTCTAAAATTATCTCGCATAGATCTCTATTTATTGGATTTGTTAGAGTTAAAAGAAGATGATATTTTCCCTAATAAACGTCGTTTTAGAAAGTTCCTTTAGCATGTCAATTAGACAAGTGTAATAAATATTCGTTTTAAGTCTTTAGTTCTTAGATATAATAAAAAAACATTTTCGTAATAATAACTTTTTAAACTAGTAAACGTGATTAACAACAATTTCTTATATAATATTATACCAAAAATATGTTTAAATTATCAAAAGATCACCGAAAGATTAACATTATCATTTTTTGTGATCTATTAGTGATTACTCTTAATCAAAATTTTCTATAAACTTTAGAACCACTCTTCATTTTGATCATTGATGTTGAATTTGAAAATTTTTTTTAATATTTTTTTCGAAATATTTTTCTACTCAACCTAGTGTACGCTAGAAATTTACAAAGCTTTTGACATTATTTTTCATTCCTTCTATCATCATATATCATTTAATGTAAAACTTTTTTTTAAAACCGCTCTTCAATGATTATACTTTCTTTTTTATTGATATTGAGCAAATTTCTTTGATGTTTCTACGTGTTTCAACTGGTTAAAGTCTCATGAACTAAACTTTTATATCAAATAAAATATAAAAACAGAAGAATATGAATGCAGTAAAATAATAACTAAGTATATACTGAATTGTGAATTTTTATCATTCATCATTTTAAAAAGTGATTAACTGTAATGTTGTAAATATGTTTTAATATGTGGGTTTCTTGATCTTAGAAGGAACCGTAGTAAAAAGTTCTCTAGTATTATGTACACTATGTTTATTAGTAAGATAAGTTATGAATGTTTTTATTTATGAAGCCTTGAATTCGTATTTACTGGACTATGAATGTATTATCAATTTTAATTTCAATGTCATATAGGATAATATTGCTCTAGTATTTCACTTGTAAATGATCTACATTTTTATGAAAGCCATGATGTCAATCATTATCGAGTGAATACTTAACTCATATTTCAATTATCATTTTGTTTTGTCTTTGAAATACTATATTAGTCTTAAAATAAAATGAATTCATCACAATCTTGTAGATAATAATGGAAACGAATGAAACCGTTTCTGATATTCTTCAACAAATAACTCCTACAGTTGATAATACAACGTACGTTAAATAATTTAATTCAAGTTTATAAAAATTTTATTTTTCAGAAATACTGATATGATAACACATACTGATCGACATTCCATCCTATCGAATACCAATGATATTAATTATGATTCGCAAATAAGTAAGTTTCAAATAATTATTTAAAATACTGGTAGACGTTTTATGAATTTATCAAACTTAATTAATTATATTACAAAACAGTATACTATTTAAGAATAGCAACGCATTGCAAATACTGTTGAATTATGCTATGAATGTAGCAGTGTTAAGCTATGTTTGGACAAAAAAACCATATTGATTTGTTTTAAATTGCAAATACTCAGTAATATTTATATAATCATTATCTTGATAAATTAGCGAAAGAAGATTCACGCCATAACTGTTTCTGAAACCTGATCCTAACGAGAAATTCGTATTTTTTTTTTTAAATAGTATGGTCAACGTCTAATTTAAATGAAAAAACAACCTTAATCAATATTTCACAAATTAATACAGATATTGCACGTCCGTAAGTTTTCCCATTATCACACTACCAAGTGTATTCAAAAAATACATGTAAAACTGATTTTACCTTTTCAACAAACGTCGAATTATTTCTGCTTTTAAAATTGAATTATATTTTTTTATTTTTGCCCAACATATAATGAATATATTTTTTTTCTATTGTGTTCTTATTTATGATAATACTTTATGATCTTTTTATATAATTTTTGCACGTATATATTTATTATTTAGATGGAAAATACGTGCGCTTGTTTCGTGTGAATATCCAAAACGAACATTTACTAATTCAAATGGTATTGGAGAAGTATCTAATTGGGATCTAACTGATGAAACAGGATCAATAACTATGGTTGCTTTCAATCTCAATTGCCACATGATGAGTGGCAAAATAAAAAAGAATCAGGTAATTCAATAGAAAAAAAAGAAAGTAATAATTATGAGATATAACAGGCTTATGAATTTACGAACTTAACTATTCGTACTACATCAAATGCATTTAAAACATTGCCACACTTGTTTCAATTAGTTTGTACAAGCTCAACACGTGTGCAAGAAATTGATTTGACTATTAGTCCAATACAACCAGTCTACAACTTAATTCATCTAAAAGAAGTGAACTCAATAGATTTAAATTCAATAGTTGGTAAATATTGCATTAATTGTTTCATAAACCAATAAACAGAATTCAGAGTTAGGCGAATCAGGATTTTTTTACCCAAGTCAAATCAAATCATTAATAAAAAAACATTTAAATCAAGTTAAGTCAGTGACAAGTCAAAATCTTTTTCAAATCAAGTGTTTTTGAGAAATCCAGTTATGAACTTAAGATTACTCTAAAATTTATGACTAATTCTATGTAAATTTATTTAATAAAAAAATTTTCATGAAATCTTGATTAAATTTTAACATCGGTTTTATTTGTAATGTGTTTCTTGTGATCTTTGATTTATGTTGTAGTCAATATTATCTATCATGAAAAGGGAGTAATTTTCTATAAATTTTGATAGTAAAAAAAAGAGTAGAATTTTTTGATAGGAAAAAAATAATGTTATGCCTTATCACCTTAATATTCATTACAGTTACAGAGATATGTATGATTTGACATGTCCATTTCTATAAAGAAGTATACCAGTAACTAAATAATCAAAAATTAAATTTCTATTAATAACAACTATTGTACGAAAGACATAGCAATAGATTCTATACACGAGGTAAAATGATCTTTTATGTACATGAACTGAGAAATCCTTAACATTTATTGAAATCAAAACAGCATAAGGAAAACAGATATTATTTATCAATATACAAATATACAATGTTTTTCAATCACTTTACAACTCAAATGAGTAAAAATCTTTCAAAATCGATATCATTTCATATTTAAATAATATATAATTTATCAGTAAAACAACGACTAAATATTTCATATCGATTTATATAGATGTACAAGTGCAAGTTTTACGAGATTATGGTGTTTCAACAGGTACTTTTAATGATTGTGTATGGACCCGTAGAGATTTACATGTTGTTCAAGATGGAATACATATTAAGTTATCATTATGGAACGATCAAGTATTTAATTCTTTAATCTTATAAATTATTACCTTTATATTGCATTTGTAGGCTCGCTTAGTAACTCGAAATATGGCTGGACTTTGCCTTAAATTAAAAAATGTAAAAGTTTCGTGGTTCGATGGTATGTACGGTCAATATTTTACTTTTTTAATATTTTATAATGAAAATGAAAATCTTTACTTAGATTCACAATAAAATATTATAGCTATATTTTTTATTTCTTATAGGATCACGTACACTTAGCACAATGGCTAATACTCAATTATTAATTATTTAATTGCTAATTTATTGTATTTTAATAAGTTTGTTTTCATTTCATTTATTTCTTTTTATTATAAAAATAATGAAAAGTATCAAATTAAAT